CCGGGCTGGGGATTCGAACCTGCCACCTTAGGTGTACGTGGCTGGTGCCTTAGCCGGTTGAGCTATAGGCGCCGAGCCCAGCCTCACAAATTTAAACCAGGAATCAGAATCATGGGATCTGAGCTTCCTGGCTTTCATTTTGAGAAATGCACCGTACCTGCTTCATAACAGTTTGGGAAGCTCTCCATTACACACTAGCAACTTCACTCTGCAGGGCATCTTTTCTGCCATCGTACTCTGAAAGAGATTCATTAGCAGCAACATTATTTTTCCTAAAGTCTTTGAAGAAAGTGTACATAAGTGATGGAATGATCATGGGGTGGGGAGCTTACTGGAAAAGGCTGAAAAATCAATTTTCCACATTCATAGAATAATCAGACTCCACAAATTTCTACATAATCACTCCCCCCAAGAAGTCTCCAAAATTAGTCTTTGGGTATAGTTTGGTTATTGGAATGGAATAGTTATTGGAATAGTCACCATATTCTGCCATAGTTATATTGCTTCTCATGCTTTGGGGGTTCATAAAGCATTATTAGAGCTCAAGCCGCGGGGACCAGCTCTTTCATATACAGTACTTCTTTCAGTACAAGAAACTACCAGTCAACACACCAGTTCACTCACCCTAAATGTGATAGCTTGTTTAAATAACCTTCTTCCCAATGTCTCTTACTTAGTTTCTTTTCTTCACATTAGCCTGAGAGAAGGAACATAGCACCCGGGATCTGCTGGAAAAGGAGATCATTTTCAGAAAGATGATCACTACCAATCATAAAATCATGGAATTGGACAAAATGGTACATCGATCTATCCTGTTAAATTTACATGTATGGCCCAGGGAATTGTACAAGTACAGCGTGACTTTTCACCCAATGGATATGTATCCTGTGTTCCGAATATGGAGCTTTTACACTACACTATCATACTGCTTCCTCTGAGTTTCTCCAGAGAAACAGTGCCTAATCAGATTTATCTAATTTATTAATCAGTGAGAGGCACTCTGGAGTGAACCACAGCAGCAGCTGTAGTACAGGCTGTTAGTCCTTTTCTCTTACATGCAGTGATGGCTGTCGTGGCTCACCATGGAGAGAGGGATGAGCACGGTGGCGTTGAACATAACCTCAGCGTCAAGCATTTCCTCCTCACTGGCTCTGAGGAGGAAAACTCCAGGTGAGGTCATTATATGCGGTTCATTGCACTTCCTTCATTTCTGGAAACTCCAGAGGCTTGTTTTCTAGGAACTTGCAGAGATGTGAATTGTTGCTAAATCTCCGTTCCTCTCAGGGAATACTGTGGAACTCTCTATCTCTCCCTGTGTGGTCTCAGTGGCTTTCTTGAGTTTTCCCTGGAGTGCATTCTCTTTCCAACACTTGGGGCTCACCTAGAATTTAGTACATTAGTCTTTGTCTATATTAACTGTAGTGTGTTCGCTGGAGTCAAAGATACAGAGGAGTCAGAGGAAGTACCAAATTTCAGGAGACTTTCTATTGCAGTGGGATTGCATTCCACTAAGGAATCATGCTCTGTGGGTATCAGTGAAATAAATAATCTTTTTGCCTATGACTCTAATTCTGAAACTGAGACATGCTTGTGAACAAATCTTTTCTCTTTAATTTAAATGAAGACTTTAACACAGAGAAACAGAAAACTATATTCTGTTGATCACTTAAAAATTAAATTTACTAATTGGTGGGATCACACCTACGGCGCATCTTAACAAGGGTACATGTGAAATTTACTAAGTGTGGAATATAAATGTCTTAACACAATAACTAAGAAAATGCTGTGAAGGCTATGTTAACCAGTTTGATGAAACTATTCCAAATTGGCTCGGCACCTGTGGCTCAAGTGGCTAAGGCGCCAGCCACATACACCTGAGCTGGCAGGTTCAAATCCAGCCCAGGACTGCCAAACAACAACCAAAAAGAGC